CATCCCGTTTTTAGTACATTACTTCACATGTTAAATGGCTATGCAAATTTTGTCTTTCACAGGTCATAAGAACCCAGTCAATCAATCAATCAATTCGTACAGGTTCAATTTTTAATTTTAGTGGTGGCAAGACCTATTTGTAAGCCATTGGAAGTGAATGACAATGAAGATCTGCATTTCTGATTTAAAGAAAAAAGACTTTTTAGAATAAATGTTAAATTGTAGCAGTGCTGACTATAGAAAGTTTCCTTAGTTCTGTTTAAGAGCAACTAACACTTCTAATATATCATGGATACACCAGACATTATTTTTCTAGAGATGCTCTCTCCTTTAACACTGGTATAACCTCACTTTGAAAGCTATCTCTCTGAAATATGATACATATTCTCACAGAAAACCAAATATACATCAGTATACTTGGCAACTACTGAAGTATTGGAGATAAACATAACTGCTTCCTCTCTACAATTCATCAGGAGGCTGCATGAACTAGGACTGCATGACAGTTATGCATGGACTTTGATGCAGAGGGAATAAAAAAAGCAGGAGGAATTCAGTTTACTGGTATGTGGTTGCAGCTTTTTCGTGTTTGTATCTCAAATAGCTTAAGGGTAAAGAAGACTGAGATAATTTTTCCCTAAAATGACCTAATAAAGGGAATCTTTTAAAAATGAACTCTATTGCACTTGTGTTTAGAAAATAACATTATTTCTGACGGTTTTCATTGGGAAGCTGTAGCAAAAGATAAACCCTCCATTTATTATACTGCCAATGCTATTGTATAAATAATGCTTACAAGTATTAATGTATGAGTCATGAATAAGATGTTTGCTTAAATGCTACCCACTGCACTCCTCATGATAACCTCAGGGAAAGTTAACTTTGCAATTACAGTTCTGAACGTTCAGCATCTTTATTTTTCACTGGAGCTAAGAATGCTGAAGGACAACTTTCAAACTTCACTAGCCTATTTATTTAGGGTTTTTTTTGGTGTTTATTTAATTACTAGCAAAGCATCCCACAGATGTCAAGGAAAGGATGAAAAGTCTTGACATAGAATCCGTTTATAAGAAACATGGAAAAATTAAAGACGTCTGCATAGCTGGTATATAAGGCCATTTAATTATGGAACAGCTGGTGGCCTGCACAAGAGACACACCAGAAATATTTAGTATTTATTTAGTATGTTCCTGAGAAGAAAGCTTTTAGGACACAGCCTATGTCACTATCTCCAATATAAACAGGCACTGACTGGAAACAACTTCTATGCATTGAAGAGGTGCATTCTTTTGAGCCAGAGGTGTGAATACCTGTACAGTACTGTGCTCTGCCACATATAAACATGCAAAATAACTGAGTCCAAGAAGCCCCACAGCCACAGTGGTGTTGCCTCTTTGGCACAGTACATTAGCATGATGCTCTGAGCTTACGTGGTCTGCCTGCTGCCAAGACCGGAGGTAACCTCCGTCTCTGCACGACATTTAATTGTACTGTGAAGAGGTACCCCTCCCTCTTGCACGTCCACTGACAATAGTCATTTCCATGAGTGGGGAGCTGAACTACTCTATTATCTCCAACCTAAAGAAATCCAGGGAATGATAAGGTATGGCTTGCAACTGAATTCCTGTTGGCATTTGTATGGATGATTTGAGTGAAACAAGCTTCGACTAGGCTTTCAATCTATTACACATTGTCAAAAAAACCTGCCATGCTGCCATAGTTCCTTTTTAACTCCAGTTTATAAGCAAGTTGCTTTCTAAAAATGGAAAACCTAAGTAGCAGAAGGATGTCTGTAACAGACTTCAGCTGGAAGCAACAACGCTAACAAAGGGGCGAAATGCTATTCACAACTGCATTAACCCACCCTGCCAAGTCCCACTGGCATCCTATGAGGCTAATATTCAACACCTTACCTGCTAGAGGTTTTAAAGCATGCATACATGAAACATAAAGTCTATGTACCTTTTCATCTTATTCTAGGATGGAATGCCTCCAAGCATGGATGACCCCAACTTAACTCAAGGAGCATTAGGCTGCTATAATTGGAATCGTAGATTAACCTCTGGCCTAAACACTTTAGCAGAGCTTTCTGAGCAGATTCCTATTTGTGAGAAAACAGAAGCCTACATGAGAAAAATATATTTTATGCTAAGAGTGGAAGACCTTATTAAATTACTTAAGTTTCCCAGAATGAGTTTCTTTAGATTTAGATCAACTGTAAACTAGTCCCAAAACTAGATGCTTTTATATATAAGCTTCAGCAATAGAAATTGTAACAATTTCAAACTGTAGAAGCACTACTATTAAACCATGGTATTATCTGGCCACAAAAAGTTAGATAAGGAAAAAATCAGATCATATAAAAGTCAGCTGGGGGAAGCATAGGAGAAGGTTCAAGTTTGCTAGCTGTCTAGCTAAACAGCACTTCTATATAAAGGGTACTATAAAGAAAAAGGAAATAAGAAGTTTTGTATACTTCACCACTCGCTGGGATAATGGCCTCTTTATTAGAAAGCAACAACCAGAGAAGAATATAACAGCAAAGAAAATAAAATTTTGATCTTCAAACCTGAGAAGTTGCTATAGTACTGAAAGGAACTGAATGTAAGCAAAAACTCAAATGACCAAATTATTTCTGGATTTGTGTGTTATGCATGCAACCACTTGCATCCATTAACTTCCATGGCTTGGAGATGAAAGATTATAGTTTGTTTAATGTTGCACAGTGCCTAAATGTTCTACATAATGCCATGGAAGGGTAATAGCCCCTTATTTGTACAATCATAGCTGCCATTTCAGAGCCCGCAGTGTGATACTCGCAGTCAGCCATCCATTGACCACTCTTCACACATCTGTGCTTAACTGAAAGCACTTTTCAGGATCAAAGCCTACAGTTCTGCCAAAAACCCTGGGGAGCAGAAAAAGCTGTAGAATGGGTACAGGACAAAAAGAGAACGTATGGAATAAGGAGATCCTCTTATTTTACCTCATCAATAACATACAACGTCCCTTTCTCCTTCCCTAAGAGACTGGTCTGTTGCCACTTTTTTCCCAGCTTAACTACATAAAAAACCATCATAGCCTTATATGTGAAAAGTGTTTGATTGATGCTTGTTATTTCTAAAATTGTGCCTTAAAAATAGTGGTCATCAGTCTTGGTAATAAAGGAAAAAATACAATTAAACTTATGAAAACAGAGTGCTGTTAATGTTAGAAACAAAGACTGCATGGTAACAGAATGCAATTATGCTGAATAGAAATTAAAATACAAAAAATCTGTAAAATTCTGTAAAAAGTTGTTGTGGGCTCAGGATATAAATCATACATCTTAAATTGCTGCCTTCCATTTTAATTCTGAATAAAAATCTCTGCTGGTCTCAAATATGTCAGATTTAGTTATGTTTGCCTGACCTCTTCCCTGGCAAAGCTGATCCTCTCAATACCTAACATACATTTACAAATGTTCACAGGCTAGTGATAAGCATAGATTTCTGAGCTTTCATATGCTCTAGTTTTATTCCCAGCTGCTGTACTGTTTAATACCCATTCCTCTACATTGTTTTTCTGTTGTTGTTTGTTTGGTTTTTTTTCCCTTATTTTTCTTTTAGCTTGGAAGCTAATCTGCAGGTTGGGATCTCCTTGCTGTAACCATAGCTCAACTCCACATTACACAGAGATCTGAAGGCCGCAAACCTAGGTATGAAACTCCTGGGGGGTGGGGGAAGGGATATCTATAGGGACTGGAAGAGGTGCTATGCTAAGACCTTCCAAGTGGCATTCAAGGATCACATTTTCTGTCACTGGCCATGAATGTTCTCCAGCTGACAATCCTGGTGCAGCTCCTCCTGCCTCTCTGTCTCCTACACTATACATATTGTCCCTCCATGTTTAAAACATATGTATTAAGTCCCCCCAGGCATCTACCCTCTACTTCTTATGGGAAAAGTTGCTTTGCTATCTGGCAACTTGACTATTTCACACATGAGAGTGAAGTCAGCCTGCAGAGCAAGTTGACACAACTCTGAGACACCAGATAGAGAAGCAACGATTAGCAGAGGGTTCTCATTTTGTTTTAAATGTGTTTGGCCATGGCAACTAGAGGTTAACAAATGCTCTTTCTGAAACCTGCTTTTATTTCACTCTCCTCACTTTTGCATTAGTCCAGAATCTGAAGGTCTCGCAAAGCGCTCAAGACATACCAAGAAAACAGCCCACATTTGTCTGCCAGCCTGTCAGGTGTTAGATTCTCTGATGTCTTTTGCCCTCTCCATTCACAACCACATGGTCTAAGGTCTTCTACAACTAGTGAAAGGTGCTACACACAAGTACCAGATGACCATGGCTTTGGCCATCTCTGTACACCTAAGGAAAATATATTTATTTTCTGTCTGGGAGCCAGCTTCATTACAGGGAGCTGATGGCAATCACAAGCAGTTATTGCAGTAGCAGTGAGTATAAATTAGCCTGGAGAAGCTGCTTCATTCAGAAGTCTGCTTGGTGTTATAATTTGGGCACTGTGTGTGATTTTCTCATCTGAGTTACATTTTCCTCTCTGCCACAGGTTCAATACAGTACTTTGGACAAAACTGTTTAATTACACTGCACTTCATCATCGGTTAAGTGCATACTGTATTTTCCTCTCTGCCAAACATTGCTGTAAAATCTTACTAGCTTTGTATTTGAGCATACCAATATTTTCATATGCTTACATACAAATGCAGGACAAGCAAAAGATAGAAGAATAACCAGTGAACTGCAAATTACATCCTATTTTCAGAATTGTTTCTTGACGTTTTTAAAGTGCCTCTGGGAAGTACTAACAAGAGTCCTACTCAAAGCCCTCAAAGCACAGTCCCACTTTTTCACCTCTAGTGCACTATAATGGCAACTCTGTCCACAACAGCGGTTTTGTGAGCAGGGTACAAAGAGGAGCCTTAAGGCTACAACTCACAAACAAAGCAATAGTATGATATTAAAGAAATAAAGAAAAGAAGGTTTACCTGGTTCAGATCAAAGATCTCAAACACTCGTTTGATGTATAAATCTCCCTGTGGATCCAGCCCTTGCAGACCAAGGAGTTTCTTGAATTCATGCAGACTCAGTTGCCCAGATGGACATTCTCTCATGAATTTGCTGTAATAATGGTGCATCTCTATGGCAGAGCCATCACCTGGTAATGATTCTTGGGCGCCCATGTTACTACGCAGAAAGTGTCTCTTGTTTTTCTATTCACATTTATATCTCTTAGATTCAGTCTTGCTCATGACCAGAACTCAGGCAAATGCTGCATTTAAATGGCGACGGTAAACCTCTTACAACGTAAGTTTCTATTTTTATTTAGTGACTATCTGTACTCATGTGAGATTACCTTTAATGCCCAGTTCTCTACCAGATGGGATTTCAGAATGTGGCTAACGTAGAAGAGAGCCACGCTTAATTTATAGTTCATGAAAATCCAGACTTTTCCCCTGACTGCAAACATGCATATTAGAAAAAGAAAAATGAGGAGATCCTCACAGTGATTGACTTTGAATTATATGCAAACCATTATCAACACATAAAAGTCTAATCCTAGATTGACTGTAAGGAATAGCTACAATATATGCTGTAAATGAGAATGGAAAATCTTGGGAGTACAGACATGCCCATTATTATATTCTCTCCATTGTAGGTGGATTAAGCCTTTCTAAAGACAGAGCCCTTAGGAATCCTCCTTGAAGCATTTCTTATCTTGAATATGCTGTGTGGTATCTTGTATTTGTGTGCAATTGCTCCCTATTTCTCCCCTTTCAACACAGGTCCTCAGATAAATCATACAATTTTGACTACCAACCTCATGACAAAACTGGAGCAGAATCTTTTACAGTAATGCTTTTAAGAATCAACTTGGTCTGGTAGGTGAATGAAATACAAGTTTCCTTGCTGTTGGTCAGTGCTGTAGTCCTGTTCTTTACAGCTTTCAGGAGCTGAATTCCTTCTTCCTCTATTAGGTCAGGGAACGGGTTAGGTATCAATTATACTTCTGTACTGATTAGCTTCTATACAAGGAGATGAGCAGCTCAGGAGCAGTACTATACCATGGACAAGTTTGGAGCTATAAATACTAGTGTAAAACTATAGGATGGTAGAGATGCAGGAGCAGACACTCCCACTCAGTTATCCTTTGTGTTTATAATCACATGGTGGAGTTAAAGAGCACAGTCCTGTGAGGGGCTGACTGCCTCATGAAAAGTGGCAACCTCCATCCAGCCCAACTTAAGCCAGAGAGCAATCAATATTTTATAGGATCAGGTCAATTTTTGAGGACTCCAATACTCTTCACTGGCTATGGTAGAGCTCTTTCCACAAGGACATAATTAAGTTTAATATTATATGCTTCCAAATGTGGGATACGAGTAAGGCTTGAACACTCCTGAAGTGCCCATGAACTTTTGAAGATTAAACAGGAAGATCCAGACATTGCCATTGGTTTAGTCAAAACTGGTTCAGTAGGCAAAGCACATACAGCAGGTACATACACAGGTCACATGCAGGTTGGTGTGTTGCCTTTCCCCAGAGACCATATCTGAGCCCTAGAGGTGCTGTGTGATCCCAGTGACTGAGCAAGGCTGGGGACACATTTGGTGCATGCATCTCATCTGCAGGTGAGTGCCAGCTGGAGTAGTGAGGGTGAATGAAAAGAAAGCAAGGACAAGGCGGGTGAAAGGAAATGAGTAGACAAACCTCTTGTGTATGCACAGTCTGACAAAAATCCTGAATTTTCTGCATCGGCCATCATGCCCTGCTCTTAAAGCAATGACCAGTTATATCGTGTTAAACACCAGAGAAAGACAGGGCACCGGTAACACGTCTTAGGCTGCAAACTCTTCGTTATATGATCAGGTAAGTACTGTCCATCAGTAACTCACCCAGTGCTAGTCATCCTTCCTCTCTCATCTCTTCCACTTGGAAGGTGAAAGCTCTCTCACATCTCTTCACAGGACCTTCTACACTGTTCACAGGATCCTATGTAGGCATAAGGAACTTGGAAGTTGCTCACATCTACTGATCCCTCTCCCCTCCCTCCTATTTTCTCCCCCCAAAAACCACACTACTGCTACTTGCTTCCAAATAGCAAGTCTTGGGGAAGTGTACCCATGGTGGCTGAGGCACATGAGAGGGAACACTGCACTGACTCAAAGATAAGGTCTTAGATTTTTGTCAGGTTTTGTACATTCTGGTAAAAAACTTACAAGAGAATGTTACTTTGAAATCATTCCAACTTTAATTTAATACCTGTTTTCAGGATCTCTTTAGTTTAATAACAATAACTAAAATACCTGTAAAAGACAGCAGAAATGCCTGGGGGAAAAGTGATCAGATTTATACTTCAGTCTTACAGCATCTCTCACTCCCAGTGGGGGACTGGAATAGTATATAATAGCTGATATTACACCTGACAAAGAAAGGAAGGTGAGTTTTATGGAGCACAAAAAGACTAAAATTTATAACCCACTACATAGTTTGATAGCACTTAATAAACTCACAGTCAAACCGTCACCTGTTCCTGAAGCCAATGGCAATAGAACATTTCTACTTCTACAAATAAAATAGAAAAATTCATAACAATGTGGAGCTGAGCTGATGAAATTAATATAGCAAACCCATTTTGAAGGACTCTGAAACAAAGGGTATAGAGACTAGTTTGTATATGGGAAGCCCAGTGAATCAAATAGCAAACTGAACTGATGCTAAAAGATGAAGATAAAATTACAGTATCTATTGATATCTACATTAGAGATGCCAAGAAGCTTTCTGGAGGCTGTACATTCTGGGAATTAGGAAAAAGATACAAATAGGCAACAGTAAGACTATGTACTGGCACTGACAATGAGAGTACTGTAATAAAGAAGATTGCTGGTTCATGGACAGACTGTTGCTAAACTGCAAAACCATGGGGCACACAGAAAATGCACACTGCATGTAAAGCAAAACTGTCTCTATAGGGAAACATGGGAAAAAAAATCAAACTCATGAATCCTGCTCTGAAAATGGCATAAAATCTCATCACTTTTGGAAGGCATGATATTATCTAGATTTCTTGAAAAGTGAAAAGAAAGAGGTAGTCTTTTGACAGAGATTGAAAATAGCAGTTGCTCTTTTAATTAAAAAAACCCAAAACACCACACTTCAAAGCAGGGTGATCAAGAAATGCCTTGATATAAAAAAATGGCAGAAAAATAAAATAATAAAGATGTCATTTTCTTTCTTTTGGGTATTATGAAAGCAGCAGATACTAAATCCCTGTGTTGTGAGACAAGGAGGTCACATCTTTCCACTCTGATAGATTCAACTGAATGCTACCTGTTTGAAGTGTAAGACAGAAAAGACGACTGCTAGTGCTTAAAGTGGCAAATGCCATATTTTAAATGCATTTTAATAAAAAGCTTATCTACAGATTTTTTTATCTAAAACTTGTGTCATCTTTGCCAATAAACTCTATCTTTTCCTCTTGATTTTTTAACCCTCTGTGGCTCACTCCGGCCCCATTCCCTTTTTTCTTCCTCAGCAATTTCTACCTACTGATGGCTCTGAAAAATGCCATTTCTCTCTCCTACGTCACCAAGCTCGTGCTTCTAGACCTTGCCCCATCTCGCTGTCCTTCTATTTCCTTTCCTCCCTGCACTCCACTGCTATCAGATGCTCGGTCGTACTGGTGCTGAGTGCATACAGACATCTGCTGCTGCTTGTTTCAGCTGCAGAGGGAAACTACCTGGGCAGGACCACAGAAAGCACCATTGCAGGCATTCCCATGTCCCTGCCTAGCCAGCTGAGATAAAAGCGTAGTGTCCTTCCCACTGTCGTGCCATCTCCCTCTATTAATATCGCTGCCAGCTCCTCACAGGCACATGACTACTCATCTCCAGCCAGCTTCAGAGTCTATTTCTGTCTCTTAAGGCAAATGTAACCTACCTTCCAGCTCAAGCAAACCTGAGTGAGGTGTTTTCACGGGGACCACCTAGGCTTCCCAAATGAAAGTGAGTCATCTGCACAGGATACAAAATCGGTCAAAAAGAAAGAACTGAAATGGCCTATGCTTGTCAGAAAATTTTCCCCATGGAGGTTTGAAAGTCTCATCTTCCTATAGCCCACCTACACTTTTTAAAAGTATTTGAATGAGTGTTTAGCATCTAAATTCAGCTTTCCTCTGCCTGTATCTTCATCAGAATGGTAGCTTGCTTTTAAGAATTGTTTTCCTTTCCTTCATAAACTAGAAAGTGTTTGCCCTGAGGAGGCAAGTTTCTTAGCAGGTCACAACCTCCAATGACTTTCCTCCCCAAATGCAAGTGGGACCAGCAACCTCTGATTAAGGACAAAAAGGAGGCATTGTGATGACTGTTAAACTTTTCAGTGGTCTTATTAGAAATGAAGGGAAAGATCTCATCCAGGGAAAATCTGAGAGGCCAATAAATGTTCTGACTCCGGCAACCCCTGCCTGAGAGGAGAGGACTCACCAAATTCCTCCTAACTTAAGCATGAGGATGAGGAAAAGGGAGGTCATTGCAGCTTTTTATGGCATTTTAACCATGGCATACACAGTAAACTGTGTAGGAACATATATACAATCACTTAATTATGCTCTCTTTGAAAACACTGATCAAGCACTGACACGACTTCATTAGCTCATAATCACATTCCTCGTATGCCTGCTTTTACAAGCATGCCTATTTCTACAAGCAATGAACTCCTTGTGTTTGTGTATGGATTTAAAACAGAAACGGAAGGCAGTCATCATTGAAAAATACATCTGTTGAAGGCTATTATGTCCATTTCCTTTTTCTAGTACTGATTCATTATTCCTGACTTGGAGATTATAAGTGTAGCACAATGATACATGTCCTGGTGATGAGATAAGCAATTGTGCTCATCTTAGTTGTGAACAGTCTAGCCTAGGCTTTTTTTTTTTGCCATTAAACTAACCACTTACAGATGTGATTTTGTGGGTGTTGTTAGCCACACATGCTACAGTGTACTGGTATCTATAAATAACCAGCAGACCATGCATAATGAAATAACAAATCTTATACTTCCCACAGAACCCTTTGTAGTGCAGTTGTTTTCATTTTAATGATTATGGGGAGTGCTCTGAGATACCAACTTTAAGTTTTCCATTTGGAGTTAAAGACTTAACACAATGGGCACCTATTCCTGAAGC